ATGTACCCTGGTTTTGCCGCAAGCCAAGCACAGCAAGGAATGCCACAACAAGGAATGCCGCCACACCCGCAACCTGGCCACTCCTTCTACACACAAGGGTTCCCGTCGCCGCAGCAGCAGCAGCAACACCAACACATGGCACCACAACAAGTCAGGCAGTACCCCTGATCTATGTATCGCATGACTTTCGTGTTTACACTGGGTGTACTTTTGCGTCTGATCGTTGCCTGCGCTCAAGTCATGATGTTCCTTCATCCATTGCTCATGGCTTGCTTTGCATGCATGTATGTGGACTACAATGTCGTCGCAATGCGTTGCCTCACTGGTTTTGCTTGCGTGTTCCATTCTGCGTGCTTTTCTTGTCGTGCAGATGGATCCAAAGAAGGCTGAGGAGATGCGGAAGAAGGCCGAGTTTGAGGAACAACGGCGCCGGCTGCAAGACTTTGTATGTGCTTTGTATGGTGTGTGAGTGTGTGTGTGTGTATGTGTGTGGGTGTGAGTGTGAGTGTGTGAGTGTGAGTGTGTATGTGTGTGGGTGTGGGTGTGGGTGTGGGTGTGGGTGGGTGTGAGCAGCCTGCGGATTCTTGAACGCGACGCGCACATACTCACGGCGTGCCACGCAATTCTTCTGCACTGCGCTGTGTTTCCTTTATGCAGACTGCTGCACGAAGCAAAGCGTCTTCAAAGTTTACTGCGGACAAGCTCCTCTCTGGGCTGGTACGTGTGACCACTGTTACCCCGTTGGCCTCTGATTTTTGCTGCCATGTCGGCCCTGGTGGTTGTTGCATGCTGTGTGAACACATCACATTACAGACGGTACAACTGCCAGATTCATATGGCCGGCCTCCCTCCTTCACACTTGCCTGCTGCCATTATGCTGGTGTGGCTTATTCAGACGGCATCCAGTGCGCAGATGAAGAAGGAGACCGAACCTGCACCTGCTGCACCAGCGCTGTCGTCCGCACCACTTGTCCATCCTCAGCTGCGATCCCAACAACAACAACAACAACAAGAACAACAACAACAACAACAACAACAACAACAACAACAACAACAACAACAACAACAACAACAACAACAACAACAACAACAACAACAACAGCAGCAGCAGCAGCAGCAGCAGCAGCAGCCGCATGCGCAACGGAGCGCTGTTGACGATGACTTTGGGGACTTCACGGATGCGGACCCGTATTCCGCATTCAAGGAGCTGCAACCGCAGGCACAACCTGTCACGGTGCAGGCACAGCCGAGTGAGGGCAGGGTTGGTGCGTTTCCTTCCACAGCAACGCAGCAGCAGCGGCCGCAGCAGAAGCAGCTGCCGATGAAGGACGGGGGCGACTTTGGCGCCTTTTCCTCATCGTTTGCGCCACAACAGCAGCAGCATGGAACTCACGGCGATGACTTTGGTGCATTCTCCTCCACGTCCACAGAGCAGCAACAAACGAAGAAGGATGATGACTTTGGCGCGTTTTCAACGTCGACGCAATCGAAGGCCAGTGATGAATTTGGTGCATTCTCATCCACATCGACTGAGCAACAGCAACAGAAACAGCAAACAAAGAACGATGATGATTTCGGCGCCTTCTCATCCACATCGACTGAGCCACAACACCAAGCGAAGGGTGATGATGATTTCGGTGCTTTCTCATCCACCTCAGCAGAGCAGCAAGTGCCAAAGGCCGATGATGACTTTGGTGCCTTCTCATCCACGTCGACCGAGCCACAACAACACCAACAACAACAAATGCCAAAGGTTGATGATGATGATGATGATGATGATGACTTTGGCGCCTTCTCATCGACTTCATCTGAACAGCAGCAGCAACAACAGCAACTGCCAAGGGCTGATGATGACTTTGGTGCCTTCTCATCGACATCCACTGCCTCACAACACCAACAACAGCAACTGCCAAGGGCTGATGATGACTTTGGTGCCTTCTCATCGACATCCACTGCCCCACAACACCAACAACAGCAAATGCCAAAGGTTGACGATGACTTTGGCACCTTCTCATCGACGTCATCTGAGCAGATGCAGCAACAACAGCAGCAACTGCCAAAGGTTGATGATGACTTTGGTGCCTTCTCTTCGACATCATCTGAGCAGATGCAGAAACAACAGCAGCAACTGCCAAAGGTTGATGACGACTTTGGTGCCTTCTCTTCGACATCATCTGAGCAGATGCAGCAGAACCAACAACAGGAGCAGCCGCCACAACAGGACAACGGGTCCACATCGCCTATGATCAATTGGCGCGGTGCCGCAGACGCTGTCCGCGATTACTCCGCATTTGCAGACCTCTTCAGGGAGGAGCAGGAACAGGAGCAGGAGCCAGCACAACCACCGACGCATGTTGGTGACAGCGAAGGAAAACAATTTGCTGATGATGACAGCCCGGCACGCGAGACACACCCCACGCACGTGGCATCGTCGCCGACGCTGGGCGCACCAGCACCACCTCAGCCACAGCCGTCAGCAGCGACCGCGTCCACACCGGCGCCCACGTACGATGCGGCTGCCAGTGGATATGGCATTCCCTTGCTGTGCCCCTTCTCCCCGCCATCATCTCCCATCCCTCAGCACTTGCTGCCTCGCGTGTACAGCCATGCGGAGCGCAGTTGCGGGCTCACAGACGCCAGCGGCGCCTCTGCTCGCACCGTCGCCGCGTTTCTTCAGTCAAACGCCCGTGTTTCACAGCAAGTTTCACAGCAGATTGTGGCTGTTGCAGCGCACGGCGCATCTGAGCAGCGAGATGCACTGTCACGCCACCAACTGCACACGGCCCTCGCCCTTGCGTCCCTCGCACAGCGCTCAGTCCCTCCGTCTCTGTCTGCCTTGCACGAGCTGCCCTCGTGGCCGCTGCCGCTCGTAAGCGGTGTCGATGTTGCAGCCCAAATTGGCGATGACTTTGGGGCATTCACGGCCGTTGAACAGCAGCACAAGGTGGAGGAGGAACAAGCGAAGGCGAAGGAAGGCGAAGATGACTCGTTTGGTGATTTCGCTGCCACATCAGCAGAACCCCAACAACAGCAGAAACAGCAGCAGCAGCAGGGGGAGGAGACTGGTGACAATTTCGGTGTCTTTTCCTCGCTGTCCACGGAAGACACGACGACAACCTCGCAGCAGCAGCAACAGCAGCAGCAACACCCAAGAGAGAGTGATGCGTTTCGTGTGTTTGCTGCCTTTGGAGCAGCTGCCCACGACGACCACTCCTTTACAGCAAAACGAGAGCAACAACAACAACAACAACAACAACAACAACAACAACAACAACAACAACAACAACAACAACAACAACAACAACAACAACAACAACAACAACGACAACAACGACAACAACAACAAGAGGGCTTTGGTGCCTTTGCTGCAACGGCGGATGAAAGCAATCAAAATAAAGACAGCTACCAGGGGCAGTTTGGCGTGTTTGCCTCGACCACCACACAGCAGCAAGGAAAAGAAGCAACCGAGAAGGACGAGGATGACTTTGGCGCCTTCTCATCAACACCAGCAGAGCTGCAGCAACAGCCGCCTGCCAGTGACTTTGGCGGCGGTTTTGCGTCGACTGGAGAAATCTCAGATGGCGCCGCACCAAACCAACAGCAGCAGCAGCAGCAACAACAACAACAACAACAACAACAACAACAACAACAACATGAGGAAGAGGATGAAGGCGACAGCTCCTTCGGGGTTTTCTCTTCCGCGACTACGGAGGAGAGCAAGCAGCAGCCTGCCGGTGATTTCGGAATGTTTGCGACAACGACGGGTCAGCAGGAGCAAGAAGATGACAATGGCTTTGGCGCATTCACATCGACGTCAACTGCGCAACAGCAGCAAACGGAACCGCAGCATCGACTGTCTCGAAACGACGACGGCGACGCTGCATTCCCAGCGTTTTCGTCCGCTCCTCAACCCCAAACGACTGCCGCTGCAGGCGCACAACAACAGCAGCAGCAGCAGGAACGGGCGCAGCCGTTTGGAGACGACTTTGGGGCATTTGCTGACATCGCCAGTGAAGAGCAACAGCAGCAACAGCAGCAACAGCAGGTGTGGAAGAAGCACACGGATGGTGATGATGACTTTGGAAATGATGATGCGTTTGGGGCGTTTTCAGCACCGCAGCCGACGTCACAAGTGGCCGAGCCGCAATTTGCCGCATTTGACACGCATTTTGATGCCAGCGGTCCTGTCTTCGAGCAACAGCAGCAGCTACAACACCAGCCGGACATGACGCAAGACGCAGCTGTTGGTGCTGTTGGTGGCACGAGCGGTGCAGCGACACTGTCACCATCCACGGCAGATGACGGCTCTGCCTCTGCTGTGATTGAGGACGTGTATGCCGCCTTTCGCGATCTTGAGCTGACCCCAGATGTACAAACGACCACACTCAAATCGTAAGCCATAGATTGTCGTGTGCGTGTCTGTGCCTGAGTGTGTGCATGAGTGTGCGTGGGTGCGTACGTTGTGTGTGGGTGTGTGCGTGGGTGTGGGTGTGCTTTGGTCTCTTTCAATCAGAGCGCCGAGCTGACGTGCTCGTTGTGTTGCTGCGCTCGCGATGACTGCCGATAGGGAGGCAGCCAATACCCAGCGTGCCCGAGAAGTGTGGACAAAGATTCTCAAAGCGTGAGTTGCGCCTTGCCAGCATGCCTGACCATACGGCTGTCTTGTGATTAACTTACTATTCTTCCTCCTGGGCTTGCTTGCTCCCTTGCATCTCACACCACCGATTGTTCTGGCAACACCCTCAACGTGACACGTGGGAAACTCACCGCAATTCACACCAATTTGTTTTTGTCACATCACGCAGTGCTCGCGTTGAACTGCAGACAGCGCTTACAGCACTGGAACGGTTGTCCACACTGGATGATGTCGACACGGTCAAGGAACAAAAGCAGTTTACGGACTTTGTCGCAGGTGATGCTCATGCTGTCTTGCCTGTCCTGGCATTGCTGCCTCGTTGGCTGTGTTTTGATGTGGTGTGGTGTGGTATGTTATGTTGTATTGTATTGTATTGTATTGTATTGTATTGTATTGTATTGTGTTGTGTTGTGTGTGTGCACGCACGCTGTGCGTCAGTGTTGTGTGTGTGTGTGTGTGCTTGCTGCAGCGCGCTGACTGTTGTTGTTCGCCGGTGCTCATTCAACCTGTTGTGCGTGTGCACACAACAACAACGACTGCAGGTGTGCGAGAAATGATTGGCGTGGCAGAGAGGATTGCGAGTGCATCTGAGAGAAAGCTGCCGCCAACACCCACGGAGCAGGCGTCAGAGGAGGAACAAGACAGTGTTGAGGTGTTGCGCTCAAGCGTTCGCGCCCTCATTTCGAACATGCGCAACCTTGCCGCGTCACTCTCAATCCAGGTCAGCTGGTGTTGGTGCTGGGAGCGAATGAGGAGGGGGAGCCAGACAGACACAGACAGACACAGACACAGACACACACTCAGACACACAGACAGACAGAAGGAGGGAGAGGGAGAGCACTCACGCCTTCATCATCATGCTGCTTCATTTGCATATGTACGTGCACATGGCAACGCGTGTTGTACTCACATGGAGACTGTTTGGGTTGTGCACGTGGGAGCAGGAGTTGCGAAAGCCAAGTGAAGACAACGAGTCGCCCATGACGGGGACGGTGTGTGCCATTTGCCTGCACGAAACACAGGTGGCATCGCCACTGCTCGGCGTGCTTGCTTCCCCAACCTCTTCCTCCTCCTCCGCTTCCGCAAACGGGTTCACCATGAACGGCTGCGACTACCACGGCACATGCGCCAACTTTTGGTGCAATTGTGTAGAAGCCATGCTGCCCGCGCTCGACGTCTGAGCGCATCAGCAGAGAGCACGTGCTTTGTGTGTGTGTGTGTGTGTGTGTGTGTGTGTGTGTGTGTGTGTGTGTGTGTGTGTATGTGTGTGGATGTGTGTGTTTGTTTGTTTGTGTTTGCTTGTGTGTTTGTTTGTGTTTGTTTGTGTGTGTGTGTGTGTGTGTGTTTGATACACCCATGCGTTCTTTATGTGTGCGCAAGCTCTTCTGTTTCCAGATGCTGCCCCTTTGTCTCACATCGAATACACGAATACTGACTGATTAAGTCGAGTGAGCGATGAGATGAGATAAAACCACGACCGTCTTCGCCGCCACGATTTCCAGTCCCACCATCATCACCATCATCACCATCATCATCATCGTTTATGGAAAGCATGTAAACAAAACGGCTGAACGTGCGCCGAACCAATCAATCGCTGTGCAACTACAAAACTGCGCATACCAACATGGACGAAACAGGACAAGCAAGAGAACACCCCACATTGAGAAGTGCTCCTTGCCATCACCAGCGCTGCTGCTGGGTGTACCGGCGCACAATCGCATCCGCCTGCGGCCAAACACGCGAATGTAACGAGAACAAGTGCGCGTATGCATGTGTGCATGACATTGGTGCGATGGAGTGATGAGCCACAGACAAGAGAAAACATGGCACTCATAAAACAAAACATCACTCAAACACCAACACCGACATTCAACCCTGCTGCAAAGCAGCCCCCACAGTCACTTGATCACGATCCAACAAAGTCACCGTGCGTGTGTGTGTGTGTGTGTGTGTGTGTGTGTGTGTGTGTGTGTGTGTGTGTGTGTGTGTGTGTGTGTGTGTGTGTGTCTGTGTCTGTGTCTGTGTGTGTGTGTGTGTGTGTGTGTGTGTCTGTGTGTGTGACGGACCTCTTCTCTCAACGAGCGTGCAGACGTGACCTGCTTCGCCTCCGCTGCTGTTGCTCTGCCGCCCTGGGTCCACTGCTGCTGGTTCGTCACAACACGAAGACCGTGTCGCTTGTCACCAGCCACCGCCTTCTTCCCCGCTGCGCGCTGTGCTGGCAGTGCTGCTGTTTCATGCGCGCGTGTGTTCGCGTTGCTCGTGCGTGTTTCCGTGTTTGCCCCGATGACACCACGTGGCTTTGCTGCATCGCCGTGCACCGAAAGCTTTTGCCGCGGTGCATGCACAGCAGCGCGGGACTGGCGGGCGCACATGGAAATGAGTGTGTATGTGTGTGTGCATGTGGATATGTACGTGTGTGGTGTGTGTGTGGGGGGGTGTGTGTGAATGTTGTGGGTGCGTATCATGTGTGAGTGAGGATGTGTGTTGTGTGGGGATGCAACGTTGTGTCAGAGAGCGTGGGGTCGACTTCAGGCGACATCAGCACCAAGTGAGAGAAGACGTGCAACGCAACAATCATCACGTGACCTGCGCGGACACGCGACGATGGGCTGTCTAGTACGCACCAGTGTGTTGTGAGGAGAAGCAACACGGGAAGTGACGTCGTGAAGAGGGCTGAACACGGGTGTCTCCTGACGTACAGCGCAACCCCGGCCGTCTGCAACAAAACCACGCGAAAGTCATGTGCATCAATCATGTCAATGCGAGCACACGAAACAACAACACCCGTATCCACACACGCAAGCACTCGTGTGTGTTGTATGTGTGTGCCCTGGAGACCAAAACACAAGAACAGGTGTCAAAAGGCATGCATAGATGCTGCTGACGAGTTACAAGGCTTTTCTTCACACTGCATTACCTGCTGGGCTGTGTGCACCACCCACACGCTGCGAATGCAGGGATTGCATTTCCTCTGATGGCAGAGAAAGGAGGAAAGAGACAGAGACAGCCGGATTGATACTTGACATGTGAGGCACAGCATCGCGCGCGCGCGCGTGTGTGTATGTGTGTGTATGTGTGTGCGTATGTGTGTGTGTGTATGTGTGTGTATGTGCGTGTGTATGTGTGTGTGTGTGTGTGTGTGTGTGTGTGTGTGTGTGTCGTCTGCCATCACGCAAGCTCTTGTCCAAACACACACGCAATGGGTGGCAGTCCATTTGCGTGTGCAGCAAAGTTGCTGTTTTGATGCCTGACCTGCGCCCGTGGACAGGGATGATGGCGGCTGAGACGATTGTGTGCACGCGGATATGTCCAGAAATTGCCGCAGTTTGTCCTGTTGTGACACAACGGAGAGACGGTGTTGATGTGATGTGATGAAAGATGTGACAGCATATGTGGCACATACAACGGGTACAATCGAGGCTGGGAACAGACGCAACGAGCAGTCCAACACGCAACGGCAGCGGGAACGCAACACACATGCGCAACAGAAGAGGCAAGAGGCACACAGCAGCGCCATGAATACCTCAAGAAGGGTGATGGAGACATCACTCAGCCCTGCGCCATGGGACGAAGAGCGGCGGTGCTTCCGCTTCTGCTTCTGCTTCTGCTTCTGTTGCGTCTGATACCGTTGCTGACCTTGATCAACATCACGGTGGTCAGCCATGTCGCTGTTTTGCTCTTGCTGCTCTTGCTGCTCCTGCTGCTCCTGCTGCTCTTGCTGCTCTTGCTGCTCTTGCTGCTGTTGTTGAACGCCAGCAAAGACAGGCTCGTCGCCGCTGTGCGAGATGTCAAGAAGAAGTGACACCCGATCGTGCTCGCTGGTGTTGACTGGCTGTGCACCCCTGCGCTCACCAAACTGGTCGTTGCTCGCAGCGTCGCCCTCATCACCATCATCGTCACCACCAGTTCCATCATCACGGGTGAAGGTACCTTCCTGTGCGCTGCCGCTGCGGGTGGGTGTTGGGGTCGGGGTGTTGGAGACGTGCGTGGAAGAGGAAGAAAGGTGTGCGCGTTCGGCCGCAGTCTCGAGTTGCGAGGAGACGAATGATGCGACCGATGTACGACCTGATGCTTGTGCAGACAGGATCCGCACGTGCTCTTCAAGACTGGCGATTTTCGCCTGCATTGCTCGCAGCGTGTCCGCATCAACATCGACCGCCCCTTGCCTCTCCACTTCCCGCTGCTGGTGCTGGCGGTGTGACAGTTGGTCGGCGTCGACGCTCAGGTCCAGCAAGCTGCTGCCACCAAACGTGTCCTCATGCGATGCAAACACGGGTGCCCGCGCGTGTATGCGCGCCATTTGTGGCGGTGCTGCGACGGGCGAACTCTCAACAGCATCCACAGCCTCCATCTCCGACTGCAACAGCTCCTGTTCACGCCGATCAGCACTGCCGCCAACGCCACTGGTGGTGGTGCTGTTGCCGTCGCCGCTGGCATGTTCATATGCAGACGGTGCACACAGCGAGAGCTCGATTGTTCCTCGGCGCGACAGCGTGCTGGAATCGCCCGTCTAATGAAAAGCGAACGGCGCAGAGAGCGGGAGGGACTGTGTGAGGAGGGGACATGCTGCAACACAAAACCTCATGCCAAGCACACATGGGCACACAAGGGCATACAGGGGCACAAAGGGGCACACGCACACACACACGCACACACACGCACACATGTACACATGTGCACATGCTGTACTCGCATCCCCCTGCACATACATACCTGCATTGTTGTCTGGTGCGTTGCGATGACGCGATCACCGACTAGGACGTCGTCAGCGAGTGCACAGACCTCAAACCACTGCCACTGCGACGCGCCAGCCACACGCGTGTGGAAGCACAGCAGGAAGTGCACACGATCAACGTACACACGCTGCTGCAAGTGGCGCGCAGCAGCGTACCGGATGCACGCAGCCGTCACGCGCGGGTCCGACAGAGAGGCCGACGCAACACCCGTGATGTACACGCCGACAAGCGGCATTGACTTGGCCGCTGGATCGTCCTCAAGGACGAGAATGGCGTGGCGGTGCTCGTTCAGCGTCACATACCCGCTCTCAAACTGCACACACACGCACATGCACACGGCACGTCAAAACATCGCAGGTATTATTTGTTCGTGTGTGTGTGTGTAACGTGTGTGCTCACGTGTGTGTGTGTGTGTGTGTGTGTGTGTGTGTAATGCTTATGCTCATGTGTGTGTGTACACTTGTGTGTGCATAATTCTCATGGTTGTCTTGCAGGGCAGCGTCATTCATGCCGTCATTCACGCTCTGGCTCACCTCCTGCAAGGCGTCATGATGCATGGACATGCGATGATACAGCGCCGTTCGCACGACCGTCAGCGGGAGAATCGGCACAGCCTGCAGCGATACACACACAGGGGAAGAGGGATGGAGGGCGATGCATGTGAGGGTGAAGAACATGGCAATGCTTGCGTAGACTGAAAGCACCAGAGCACTGAGGTGCATGCAAGGGTGAGATGAAACAGAAATGGACGCACACAACGAGCACGCAAGCCAGGATGACAGCAGTGAGGCGACAGTCCACAAAGGCCCCAGTTGCTGAACAAAACGTGCTCCTTACCTTGAACTTGGCAGCTGGTGTGATGGCAAGCCATGTGAGGCGTGCAGATGCTGTCTCGTAGGCGCCGCCGTCGCTGACCACAGACACGTCCACTTCCATTGCCGGGCACAGGGCGCTGGAGACGGTGGTGGCGCCTTGCATCTGCTGGGCATACTGCGATGAAAGACGCGCGAACACAGCGCGCTGGCTCTGGTGTTTCGACTGCATGACAGAGCAGCACGGAGCAGCACAGCAAACACAGTACCACCAGTATGTCAGCTCTAAAGGAAAAACTTCCATGTTGATCAGCAGGCAGCCAGAAGCGGTGCATACCACGCGCGAGACACAACACACGCGTGTGTACTTTCAGCACAAGGTGTCGCGTGCAAGTCACGAAGCCTTGCTGCTGCCACGCACACACACGAAGTGACAAACCAGCACACACACACACACAAACACAAACACAAACACAAACACAAACACAAACCTGCACAAACGCACACCCATACACCACACACACACTTGCACACGCATTAACATTGAGCTCACGACTCACATGCACGCGGATCATGGTCTGGCCAGTGACGGGGACTGCTGGGACGAGGGATCCGTCGCTCAGGCGACGGCCTGGATCGAAGCGAGAAGCGTGGAATTCGAAGCACGCCTCGGCGGCATTGAAGTCCAGGTCACCGGCGATGAAGCCCTCAAATGGGGCGTCACCTGCACGATCCAACGAGGATGCGGCATACTCGGCTTCACGTGCAAGCACCTGCACAGTCGCTGCAGAGATCTTCACGGTGGGTGATGCAAGCTTCAGAACTCTTGGCGAACCCTGCGGGATGCGCGACCTAAACCATTCCATGCGTGTGTGTGTGTGTGTGTGTGTGTGTGTGTGTGTATGTGTGTGTATGTGTGTGTGTGTGTGTGTGAACATACGCGTCACAAAGTTACATGGGTCACGTCCTGGCGACATGCTGGCTTGAGATTTCCACGTGCCACCATAGGTGGACGGTACAAGACACCCCAAGACAGACACCGCAAATGAAGCAACCACAGCCAACGTGAAGAATATCCACACAACTACACGCGTGCCCGTCACCCCATATGCACCCTTTGCTCACCAGAGCACGGAGACGGTCAGCGGGAAGTTGCGCTGCATGCCCGATACCGGCGCAGCCAGTGAACCCGCTGGTCGCCGTGTTGTCATCGTCGTTGGTGTAACGGCCGAAGGTGCCGAAATTTCAAAGAAATTATTCACCAATCGCCAACAATCAAGCCAAGCCAAGAAAAAGCAAGAAGGAAGACCTTCTTCGTTCGTTTGTTTGTGCTGCTCTTCTTTGCTTGTTTGTGCTCCTTGCGCCATGGCGGATGACACGACAACGACAACAACATCCAGGAGCAGTGAGAGCGAGTGGGAGACGGATGAGGAAGAAGGGGAGCTGCAAGACGCAGTGGATGACGTGCTGGTGAGCCTTGTTGCCATCAATGAGGACGATGATGATGACGAGGAGGAGGACGACGACGAAGATGACGACGAGGACGCTGGTCCCGGTGCCAAACAGGGCCAAGCGGGCCTGACCACGCCGCCACGCCAAAAGATCCACGCGCCACAGGCACCAGGTGAGTTCCTTGTTGTGTAGCAGAGGAAATCACAAGGGCACGCGATTGTCGGCGACACGTGAGAACCCGAAAGCGCTTTGCTTCCTCACTCACAAGTTAAACTGTTCACCTGCATGTTTGTGTGTGCATGTTTGTGTGTGCACGCTTGTGTGTGTGTGCGTATGTATGCGTGCGTGTGTGTGTCTGTGTGTGTGTGTGTGTGTGTGTGTGTGTGCGTGTGTCTGTGTGTATGTGTGTCTGTGTGTTTGTGTGTCTGTGTGTTTGTGTGTGTCTCTCTCTCTGTGGCTGCAGTGACACCGCAAGATCGAGCCGCAAAGATTCGGGAGGATGCCCCAGTGCTTGGACGCAAGCTCAGTGCTTCTGTGGAAGCAGGCGAACTCAGCGCACAGCGCGCCGTTGGTGCTACGCGATGGATGGACGTTGGGGTGAGTGTGTTCAACAGCGTGGGCTATGCCACAAAGGATTGCTGCAACGATGTGTGTGTGTTTGTGTGCGTTATGATGGGGCAGCGCTCGTTTGCAGCGTGACCAAGTCATACACTGATTTACGCGTGCTGCACATGATGTGCACGTGACAGATCCGCAAGCTGCTCAAGATCATCTTTCGCGAAGGCACCATCGATGGTGAAGGGCACAGCCATATTTCCTTTGGCCGTCTTCGTCGCAAGGCGTCCAGGGTGTTTTGGGGACAGGTGCGTGCACTGTTTATTTCGTTTCGCGAAATGGAAGCCCGTTAAACTTCGCCTTGGGTCGCGATGTTTGTGCCTTCTTGTGTGCATGTCCGTGTGTCAGTGTGCCGCCTTGCTTGAGTGTGTTGTGCCCTGGACTTGATGACCTTGTCAGCGCAATCGATGTCCGCTCTGATGCTACTCTGATGCTGCTGTGTGACATGCACCACATGCTTGCCACGACGTTGACACACACGGCGGGCAGGCCCTTGTTGGGCACCTGAAGGCGGCAAAGGTGAAGGGCGCTGTTGATTTTGCCGGCGACCGACTCATTCAGGGCGCCAGCGATTCCGTGGACATCATCGGCATCCGTGAAGACATTGATGACTCCAGTCCAGACACATGTGCGTCCCTTTGCTGCTGCTGCTGCTGCTTGAACCTGTTGCCACTAACCTCTGCGCCGTCGTTTGTTCCCAGCACTTGCACTCATTCACTGGCACGACACACAACACAAAACACGCGCACGCGCATATTCACACCACAATGCAGACACGTTTGGCCTGGTGCGTGCATGCTCCTTCCGCAAGTCGTCCAAAGGCTCCACCCGCCGCGCCAGCAAAACCAGACTGGCAAACGTCACCTCTGCCACATCATCAGCATCCTCAACAGCGGCACACGGTGACAGCGGCGGTGTTCCGTTGCGTCAGACGCGATCGTCGCTCTCCACGGCCCGCGCCACGGCCCTGCGTGCCCGCAAGCTGTCAAACACGCGAGGTGTGCTGACGTGTGTGTGTGTGTGTGTGTGTGTGTGTGTGTGTGTGTGTGTGTGTGTGTGTGTGTGTGTGTGTGTGTGTGTGTGTGCGTGGCAGCTTGTGGCTGAGTGAGGGTGTGCATGCTGTTGTGCGCGTGACCACGTGTCCATCTCTGCTGCTCACGGTGATCTGCCTTGTGTGTTGTTTTGTGTGTTTGTGTGCATGTAATACATCCATGCTCAATCGCCAACACACGCTGTCCTGCGCTTGTGGCACCAGGGAGCCGGCTTGTGAATGCCGTGTCCACGTCGCTGGGAACAACAGGGCGCAGCGGCACGTTCTCTCGCGAACTGCTGCAGGCGGGTGACCCAACAGGTACACACGTGCGCGCATGTGTGTGTGTGTGTGTGTGTGTGTGTTCTGGGACATGCTGCGCATAATTGAGTGAAGCCGAACGACACATGCGCACTCACAATCACACAATCACACGATCTCACAATCACATGTACATGCACAACCTATTGAACCACATGTGTTCAAAAGTTGTGCGCAGTGACACGTACGCTCATTCACACTCACACATGTGCACACCCATGCACACGCTGCTGTCATTCCGTTTGCAGACGAGGAGACGGATGCGATTGAGGACGTGCTTGCTTCCCTGGCAACAGTCATCCACACGGAGGCCAATGATGACGACGACGACAACGACACCGACGCTGGCAATGGCAACAGCGATGATGCTGCTGGTCGCGCTGTGCACACGTTTGACGTCCTCGCGCACACACGCAAGCCAACGCACGCACATCTGTTCCAGCGGAAGTTGAGTGTGAGCATTCGCCGCGGCGAGCTGAACCCGAACCGAGCGCTGCAGGCGGCCGCATACGTCGACAAGCAGGTGCTGCGACATGATACGCTCCGTATGTGTTTGTTTGTGGGTTTGTGTGCGTGTGTGTGTGGGGGGGGGGGTGTGCTTGTTTGTTTGTTTGTTTGTTTGTTTGTTTGTTTGTTTGTTTGTTTGTTTGTGGGTTGGTTTGTTTGTTTGTGGGTTTGTGGGTCTGTGTGCTTGTTTGTGTGTTTGTTTGTCTGTCTGGCTGTATGTTTATGCGTTGGCACCGCACGTCACCTCGATTCATCTGCGACTACCGTTGTGTGCTGTTACGTGCCTGTGTTGCCTCGCCTTTCATATACTCTCCCTCATCAACCGATTCAATGCGTTCCATCCATCGCAGCTCCGCCGCCTAGCCATGTGCATCCAAGAGTCTGGCGCACCAGACGTCAACAAACGCACTTGGAAGGTGCGATGCACCAACCCCTCATGCCCCTGCCTGCACACAACACGGCAATCTCCATGCCACCACATCACCATCACCACCATCATCATCATCACCATCATCATCACCATCATCACAATCACTACCACCACCATCATCATCATCATCACCACCACCACCATGATTCGCGCATGCCGTTCTCAAACCCTCCATCCCTCCCCCCCCCCCTTTCCCCGCTCTGGTTTCTCTTGATAGATCCAACTGAAGCGCCTTGCTGACGAGACGAGTGGCATGTTTGGCGAAGAGGTGACGCAGCCGACATGAACCGGCTTCGGATTGACCCTTGCAAGCCACTTGACGCTCGCATCTGCGCCTCAAGGCTCATCACTCACATACAGACAGACATACAGGCAGGCAGTCAGTCAGTGAGACAGATAGACATACACACTCACTCACACACACATACACACTCACTCACACACATACACACACTCACACGCACGCACACGCACACACGCACACACACACGCACGCACACACACACACACGCACCACAGCAATTGCTTGGGCTGCTGCACACTGCGCGGGACCGCGGGATTGTTGCGCTGCCGGCGGTGGAGCTGCAGCGGCCAGACCACGACTCGCTGTCCATCACCCTCCTCGTGAACGACGTGGATGACGCAGACGAGGACACATGTGAGATGCAACCCGTACTGGCCATCATCACAGCTGCGATTCTTGTGTTGCTGCAACCGTGCCTTTGCTCTTCCTGCCTGGCGCTGTCCGCACGCAAGCACACACACACACACACACACACACACACACACACACACACACACACACACACACACACACACACACACACATACACACACACACACACACAGCATGTCATTCGCTCATACACGCACCACCGATTCAAACGTGTGCACGCACGCCATGACACAACCACTGTCATGTAACGCGTGTGGTTGTTGCTGTGTGCAGACACGTACGACCACATCCGCATGTCGTCTGTGCGTCAGCGCAACGACTCGCCCCCAACTGCCGCCGCCGTTTCCCTCCAGCCACTTACCGAAGAACACGCTCACGAAGCAGGTGTGTGTGTGTGACTGTGTCTGTGTGTTTGATTACCTTCGGTCTCACAATCTCCGCCTCACTGTCACATCACCATCGTCACCACCACTGCCACCACTGCCACCACCACACCCGATCGCTAGGCGAGAAGCGCGACCTGCTCGCCCGCTTGGATCTTCTTGATGCGGAGGCGCCCGATGACCAGGATGATGATGATGATGACCAGGATGATGATGATGATGGTGACGGCAACGGCAGTTCGCTGTTTGAAGGAAAGCGCTTCATTGCGTCTGGTGTTCCCCTCGACTTTGATCTTCCCGATGAATCAGAGCAGGTGCGCACGCAGAGTCATGTGCAGTGAAGTGATGGCGGATGTCGCCTGCCCTTGACCCTCTCTGTTTTGGCTTCTGGTTTAGTTTTGGCTGCTCCTGCGCCTCGCCAACGACCCCTCGAGCTGTGATTTGAAGTTTGAGGTTGAGCATATTCCGCGCTGCCACATCAGCGCATCGGCGCTTTCAACTGCGAAAATGCTCATTGCAACTACCCCCACGCTTGCCTGCTTGCCTGCATGCATACCTGCTTGCTTTGCAGGTGGCCGCGCTGATGCAAGACGTTGAATCGCTGCAGTTTTCGCTGCGCCTGGCCGAGTCGTCGCTCGCGTCCACAAAGGCGGCGCTGGAGCAGCAGCTGGCAGCCGCGCGCAAGGAGACGGCAGCCGCCAAAGACGAGTGCAAACGGCTTGGCGAGGAGCTTGCACGCGCACGCAAGGAGCACGCGGCTGTACTTGACCGCATTGCGCACCAGCAGGACAAGCAGGCGGAGAAGCACGCCGCGTCGCTGACAAGGGCCAAGGACACAACGACGGCCGCCCAGCAGAAGGTGGACACGCTTGAGCAGCAGCTTGTTGCGGAGCAGCGCGCCCGCCACCGCGTCGAGACGGAGATGGAGGAGATGAGGGCCAAGCATGACAAGGAGCGACAGGCGCTCAAGGACGAGCTGTCGGCAAGCCTTCGTGCGACCATCCGGGCTGAGGTGGAGGCCCAGGTGATGGCGGAACACGCAGCTGCACGCGCGGCAACGAAGGCAGCAGCAGCAGCAACAGCAGCACCGACGACATCCATGACAGCAAGCAGCGCGCACCCGGCCACTCCGCAGCAACAGCAGCGTGGTGCGACGGTGACAACAAACAGGGTGGTGACGCCTGCGCCAATGAACACGCCATCACCCCCAACAACAGCAGAAGAAGCAACAACAACTGCAACTGCAGGGGGCCACAGCAACAGCAGCAACCCTGCACGACGTGCGGCATCCCCTGTCGCAATGACAACAGCCAAACCAGCTGCACCAGCAACGCCGAGAGCAACGGCAGGGTCAGCCCTGTCTCCAGCGCAGACGTCGGCCCAGAAGAGGATTGCAGAGGCGAAAGCGAAAGCGCAGGCCGTGAAGGTGAAGGCGCACCGCCAGCTGACCGCGCGTGATGTGCAAGCGGACGAGGAAGCCGTGATTGACGTGCTTGCAAGCATGACGGCCATCAACCGACGCGACACCATGAAACAAAAGGCGGCAATGCAGCAGGCTGCGCGCAATGCGGCTGCAAAGACGAAGGCAGCGAAGAACAGCAACCCCACATCGGCACCAACCATCACCACGACGTCTGCTGATGACGACACGCAACCGAAGAACGAGGCCGGCACGACTACAATCGTGGACCAGTCGTTCAGCATCCCGGACACGGCGCCAGTGCTGCAGCGGAAGCTGTCTGTGTCTGTGCGACGCGGTGAGTTGAACCCACGCCGCGCCCTCGCAGCCACGCGCTTTGTGGATGACCAGATACGCAAGCTGATCCAGAACATCAAGAGCCATGGACAGACGGACAAGGCGGGCAAGCCGACCATCACCTTTGGAAAGCTGTTTGAGACATCAAACAACCTCGAGGTGTGGCATGCGATGGCGACTGTTTGGCTGCTTGGCCATGCACGTGTTGACTGAACGTGTCTGACAATGCGATTTTATGGCAGAGATGTCTGTGTGTGTGTGTGTGTGCGCGCGCGCGCAGAGCAAACAGCCACGTCATGCTGGCCATCAACCCAACTTCATATGCATTGCACTCACTCAAACGCGTCTGCACACGCAAGTTTGTTCTCCTACACGTACAAACACTCACACGTACACACGTACACACACACACACACAAAACAAAACAATACGTTTGCGTGCACCTGCAACCCGTGGCAGAACCTGTCTGGAACCCTTCGGACGGCCAAGAAGCAGCAAATTGTGTCGTATGGGGCAGAGATGCTGCTCAAGGGCCTGCATGATGGTGTCACCATCACCTTGCTTCGCGACGGCCTCCAGGACTCAAACCTCGACACATGTACGTGGCGCTGCGCATGTGTGCGTACGTGTGGGTGTGGGTGTGGGTGTGGGGGGTGTGAGTGTGTCTGTCTGTCTGTCCGTCTGTCTGTCTGTCTGTCTGTCCGTCTGTCTGTCTGTGCGTGTATGTGTCTGTGTCTGTCTGTGTCTGTCTGTGTGTGTGTGTGTGTGTGTGTGTGAGGATGTGCTCTTGCATGGTTTGTACGCAAACACCAATTCTGCGACCAATGTGTCCTCCCTTCTTCCAACACCAAACCATTCTCACCTGTACCACTGAACAACAAACGACGTGCATCTCCATGTGCAGACACGTACCAGCAAGTGCGGGAGGCGAGCACGCGGCGCAAGCTGACGGCGACGCTCAAGTCGTCCATCCGTCGCAGTACAATGAACCGCTCCAACTCCATCAACCTCAAGCAGCTCGCAGCCTCCGCACGCGCAAAGCGCGACGCCCGCATCGCTGACAAGCAGCCGGGCAACAGCAGCGGGAACAGCGGTATCAGCACCAACGCGACGTCTTCCACGTCATCCAACCCGAACAGCAGTGCCGCCACGGATGCTGGTGGCCGCAGTTGGCAGCGGAGAGGCGCAAGCTCGTCGACGCTGCTGCACCGCGGAAGGGTTCTGCCAAAACAAACAGGGAGCGGCTCGCGGTCGGAGCCAGGCAGCGCAGCGGGATCACGCTCGCAGCTGAACCCTCCCGATCCGGCTGCAAGCGACAACAGCAACAGCGGCGGCAGCGGTGAAAAGAGCGATGGAGATGAGGACGCGGTTGTGGATGTGCTCGCAAGGTAGAGTGGAACACTGCACGCATTAGCTGCGCTTTGTGTCGCACGCTTGTGCCGTGCGTTTGTTCTGTGTGGGTGTTGTTGTTGTTGTTGTTGTTGTTGTTGTTGTTGTTGTTGTTGTTGTTGTGTACAAGCAGGTGGGTGGTCTGCTTGCCCTTCGCTCACGGGCTTTTGTGCGTGTGTGCGTGTGCATATTCTTGTGCGTCTTTGCAGCATGGCTGGGCTGTACCACAAGGAGCAAGTACGCCTGAGCCGCCGCGGAAAGGCCCCAGCGCCAGCAAAACGTACGCACAACGCACACAATGTGTTTGTTCCGCGCTGCGTGTGAGATCAAGCGTGAAGCCTGTCATCGTGCTTGGAACCATTGCGCCGACGGTGATGAGCATGGCTGTCATTAGACGCACGCGCACGCCATCACGGCTGTATTCCACCATACATGTCGCCACACACCTCTGTTCACACGACTTCACACGACTACATGCAGTGCACACTACCACACACGCTTGCTAACCACTTCCCCACCCCACCCTGTCTTCACACGTGTGTGTGTGTGTGTGTGTGTGTGTGTGTGTGTGTGTGTGTGTGTGTTGTACGCAGCGGCTTCTGGGCCCGATGTTCCCGACGATGCGCGCATCAACCGTCGACGGCTCAGCACGTCTGTCCGCAAGGGCGAACTCAGCGAGAAGCGTGCGCAGCAGGCTGCCCGCTGGATCGACAAGGAGGTCATGAATCTAACTGTGTTTTCTCTGTGTGGGGGGGGGGGTTGTGACTGTAACATGGAGCTCGTGTTTGTTTTACGCATATCCCGCTCTTGCGAGCTTCTGTCCGCTTACACATGTACTGCTTGTACTCGTGTGCGTGTGTATATTTACCCCCACAGATTCGCAAGCTGATTGCGGCCATTGAGAAGTATGGGAAGCCCAACGGTGCCCCGGACCAGCTTGAAGTCAGCTTTGGCCAGCTCTTCCAAGAAACACAGAATGAGTTTGAGGCACTGACAGGCACGCTGCGCACTGCGAAGAAGCACAAGGTTGTGGCATTTGAGGCGGAGACGCTCTTCCAGGGCGCACACGACCACGTCGTCATCACCCTGCTCAAGCACGAGATTCCAGACTCAACCATCGACACATGTGCGTCAAATCGCTTTGACGTTGAGTGGGGCAGGGAAGAGCAATTCATGTGCGTGGCTCTGTGTGTGTGTGTGTGTGTGTGTGTGTGTGTGCATCTCTGTGAGCATGTATGTATCTGTGCTCGTGTGCGTGGGGCTTTTGTTCGCCTGTGTGCTGACACCAACCCACCCGTCACCTCCAATAACCAACGCGACCCCTTTCCCCTCCCCGGGTGTTTGCGTGCGTCAACAATGTTTGCCCACGCCACAACAGACACATACAGACAGGTGCGCCAGTGCTCTGATCGTCGCAGGCTCGGCAAAGCGTTTGGCTCATCGTCGTTGCAGAGTACGTTCAGTTGTGGGTTGAAGTGGGGTGCTTTGAATGGTTCTTCCTTCTTTCTGTGTCCATGGCACTGCTGTGTCCCCTGATGCTTTGCTCACTCAAACGCACCGCATCGTGCGCCTTCTTGTGCGTTGCGTGTGTGTGTGTGTGTGTGTGTGTGTGTGTGTGTGTGTGTGTAGTTCTGTACCTCGCTCTCCGTTTCCGTTTCGCTGACTACTTCTTCTTCTCCTCCTCCATAATTGCTAGTCGGGTCCTCGCAGCTTCCTTCTTCTTCCTATTGTCCCGCTTGGGCTTCTTCTTGTGCTTGTTCTTGCCCTTCCACTGTTGCTGTCCCTGTAGCTCTTTCGTTTGCCGGCAGGCACGCCTCTGGTTGTTGGCTCGCTCCCTGTTGCTTGCTCGTTTCATTCCAGCCAGGCAGGCATGCATGCACGCTCATGGATAAATGGGTTTGTCCAGCCGCCCGTACGCTTGTTGCTTCTTCCCTCTCTTTCCTGTGGCTGCATTGTTCGTATCTGCATTTTAAACCCAGCAATCTACTCTGCCTTGCTCGCCTTCCTTCCCGGCCCTCCCTCAAGCCATCACCACCACCACCAACAACAACAACAACAACATCAACAACAACATCATCAACGACAACAACATCAACAACAACAACAACAGCCATCCAATCCAGCTCGTGTCGTTGCCAAAAATAAACCACGCACACATTTCACACTCAACGACAACGAACGACAACGAAGATGAAGGTAAGCGAAGATGTTGTTGATGATGTGATGGGTGGTGGTGGCAATGAGACACCACGACGGACAGACGGACGCACGCACAGGCGCCTGCTGTGTGCTCACATGCACACCCGCATGCATGCGTGCTTGTTGGCGGCTTTGTCAGGTGTATGCGATTGGCCTGTACAACAGCCAAACAAGCAAGCCGTCCTTGCTTGCCATGGCAAAGGACCTCAGCTCGTTTGGCTTCTTCCAACGATCAAGGTTGCCGTTTGCATGTGTCCCCCTCAAACTTGCGTGACTATCTGTCCGGTTGGCTGGCTGCCTGTTCATCTGCTTGCCTGGCTGGCGCCTCCCTTGGACTCTCCTTACATGTGTGTTCGTGTGCCTTGGTTTCTCTGACGCATTTGCGCTACCCTTCCCACCTTCACCTCACATTGTGGTTCGTTTGTGTGTGTGTGTGTGTGTGTGTGTG